CAATTTAAAAAGTAAACATAAGTTCACAACACAAAGGAAATGAACCACAACACTTACATTTACGAGTCATTAAATCATGTTTAATTTGGACTTCTCTGTGCATGCTCTTTGAGGTGGTGACCATAGACCTCCATTATATGACTGACAGACAAGAACGGTTTGACCTAAAAATATACTGCGGAAACAAAGACACCTACATCTTGGATGCCCTTGAGGTAAGCTAAAACATATCAAAAATTAATTTCAAAGTGAACTATCCATTTAATCTGCCTGTATTTTAGTGCACCAAGATTGACGTGATTCAATCTACAGATATTAGCTAGCCTATATGTGTAACTGTAAATGAATCTTGCATGCTTCTGCCTTGAGATTAGACGGAAATTGTGGCTTCCAGAGACAAAGCATATTGTCGAAACAAAATACACTTTCTTGAATGTTTATTATATTTTGAGGATATACCATATGTTTTTTGCAGTTTTTAATCACTAGCACTGTCCATCTTATCAATGGTATATAAATGGGGCAAAAAACAATTTCCTGTAAGTCTAGACAGAGTTTAGAGGTCTCTAACACTGTTTGTATCAAGTGGAAAGTAGTGAACGGAAGGTATTAGAGAGAGCTGTAACCACAATGCTGTTCTCCGGCCTTTGCACACACTAAACCTCTCACGAATGAACCTCAGCCCAAAATACCAACAGTGACGTTGTTTTGCGTAGCAACAAAATTAATGTGATGCCTTTTAAACACTCTTTGAATTAAAATAATAAAATAAATAGCTTAGACTAAATTGTGAATTAAATTTTGCTGCATGAGAAAGGTGTTCAAAAGAGCATCAGTAACCGGATGCGATGGACATGTAAACATGTAGGCTATTGGTACATTGAACTATATTTAAACAACCAAGAATATGATAAAAACCAATGTGTTTTGGACTTCAGAAAGAAACTGAAGTCAATTTTGGTTACCTCTGCTACTTCCTCATAACCGGATGAGCGGCCATTGGCTGAATCTTCTGCACATGCTCTGTTTGTGAAATGAAACCACAGGAACAGTCACTTTTCTAAGATGCTCGCTTACATAAGCTGTTTAATCTGGCTCTTCATTTGTGTGGAAGGTAAGAACTGTGTTATTTATTTATTTGATTTGTCTTTTTTATTTATTTTAATTTTTAGATTTGTTAATCTTTTGCCTAGCAAAAAAAAATGGTTGAAAAATGTCCTGTCATTTCACTGTGCTAAACTGTTAAATTGCAAATATGCTCAATATTACATTTTCAAAGGTTAACTTCTGTATCTGTGGGTTCAGCTAAATATAATTAAATGTGTTTCAGGTGTGTTTGGCGCTGGTACAGATGAAGTGAAGCCGGTGTCAGTGACTGAGGGAGATTCTGTCTCTCTAAACACTGATGTTCAAGTACAGAGTAAAGATCAGATACTGTGGATGTTTGGACCTCGAGAGACTCGTATCGCTGAAATATATAAGAAGAACATTGATATGTTTGACAGTGATGTGACATTTGGAGACAGACTCCAGATGGACAGTCAAACTGGATCTCTGACCATCAGAAACATCAGATCTGAACACACTGGACTTTATAAACTACAGATCCTCAGCACCAGAGGAACTTCATACAAAAAGTTCAATGTTACTGTCTATGGTGAGTAAAGTGAAGTGTTACATACAGTATTATAAATGTACATCAATGTCAGACAGAATCACTACCTGTGATCAAATTAAACATAGTAGAGGACATTTAAAACAAAAATGTGTCAATTAGTTTACATTAGTATCTAGTATTATTTTAATTACAGATCAAGTTGATATTTACGGTTACTTATGTTATTTTTGTTTTCCAGCTCCTCTTCCCATTCCCATCATCACTGGAGACTGTCCATCATCATCATCATCATCATCAAGCCAGTATTGTTCACTGGTGTGTTCAGTGTTGAATGTGAGTGATGTGACTCTCTCCTGGTATAAAGGAATGAGTGTATTGTCCAACATCAGTGTGTCTGATCTCAGCATCAGTCTCTCTCTACCTCTGGATGTGGAATATCAGGATAAAAACACTTACAGATGTGTGATCAACAATCCTGTCAGAAACCAGACCACACATCTGGACATCACGCAACTCTGTCACACGAGTGCAGGTACTTCATCAGTGTCTATTCAGGTTTGCTTGCTGTTGATATAAGTGTTTACTTTTTTCCCAGTAATATTTTGAGGAACATTTTTCATCTTCTTGTCATCAGAGAACTTTTACCGGCATGCATCTAATAGGAATATTCCTCATGTGCTGATATCAGTATTTTCTTTCCACAGAAGCTGTCCATTCTGAGAGTGTGATTCCTTCTCTGATCTATGCTGTGCTGGGCACGACTGCTGTCGCTCTACTGTTTTTCCACGTCAGATCCAGACAGGTTGATAAACGTACATGTCCATTAGCGCAGAGTGGGAGGAAATGAGTGCTTTAGATTTCATTACCAGAACAACAGTATTGTGAGATGGACAGCATATGAGCACTGACAATAAATACATAAATAAATAAAAGAAATAATCAAGGAAAGAAAGAAAGAAAAGTCAAGCAGAGCGTCAGACACACATGAAACACCCGTTAATTGATTAAGCAGCTTGCGGATGACACCAAGGCACGATGCTTGAACAATTAGTACAATTTTGTAGACCAGTTAAAAAGAATGATTTGTTCACGAAACTATATTAAAGAACAATATCCTTCGTTCATGCTGTCCATCTGGGTAAACATGTGTAAAAGCAATAATAAAACATGACACAAACAAAAGGGTGGAGCTAGACGTCCAGCTCCCCCTCATTTGATGTAATGGGTGGAGCTAGACTGTCCAATGACACACTAACCTTACCCATAAACCCAAGTGGTGCTCACTGCAGAAGGTTGCTTCTCAATATCCCTCCTCGTCTCCTCTGTCCTCTATCCCCTGTCTTCCATCCCATGACCCGTAACCCGATCGCATTTTCTTTCCTTGCAGCCTTCCCTCGCATCCTACAGGGGGCGGAGCTGAGACGCAAAAGAGGACGCACACATAAGAATTGAGAAGCTCACCATCTCTCTAGAGCTAGATGTCTAATGGGAAGGAGAGATAGAGTTATGGGTAGGGTTAGGGTGTGGTTGGATATTATAGCTCCACCCATTAGGCCCAAATTACATTCACTCCTCCTCACTGGAGCTCTAGACGTAAGCTCCACCTATTACTACACACCAGTACTATTGGGGATGTGAGCACCACTTGAAACCACTTTACAAGCAGAAATGATAATAATAGTTTTTAAAGTATCGTTACATAGTGTTATCCAAGTGTAAATATGAAATATTTTTTACTTTAGTGAAATCATTTATTATAATTATGTCTTGCTTTTGTTAAATAATTTTTTTTCAAATGCAATGTTTGTTCTGAATACTCTTTTTATGGTTTACATATTAGGGTCTATGAAAAAAAAAATGGTTACAAAATGACTGTAGGTCTTTTAGCCGTCGCAATGGGACTCAAACTTTAAACCTTGCTAGATTATCTGGTGGATTACATTTTCAAATCAAGCTATCACAGAGATGACCATATTTGTATTGTTTTAATTGTGTGTATTGATTGTTTTTGATTGGTGTTCAAAATAGATCAGAATAGGCTAGAAGACACATTACACATATCCACTACAGAAGCAGCAGATCAGGGCCTGTATCCCTAAAGTTTCTGAGAATCCTCTCGGAGAGCTCCTACTTAACCTAAAAAATCCTTGCCAGGAGTTTTAGCTTAGAAGTGATTCCAGAACATTTTCAGTGAACTCTGAGCAAGGAATGGATGGAAAATCCTATCTTAGTGAGGTGTGGTTGACCCCGTTGCTAGGTATGAGTCATCATTTCAAAAGCCGTGATTGGTTGATCCTACAAGTTTGAGTAATGAGCAAAGGATGAACCCTCAAATCAATAAACATAATTAAATTATACACTCTAATCTTATGCAGACTCTAATTGTAAATAATATTTCACATTCAAGAAAATATCTGGAAAATGAATAGTAAGCTGTAGGGGTTATAGCCTAACATTAGAATCTAAAATTTGTGAAAACTTGAGCTCATTACACCCTGTTCAAATAATGATTCGTGTCTTATTTGCTCATATTAATATCCTAGCTGGCATATTTTGTACTTTCACTCCCATATGGACCCCATTGAAAACAAGATGGCCTATCTCAAGTGAATGTCCTAAATGAAGTAGAAATTGCAACGTTACAACTCAGTGTGGTCTTAACGAGGGTAACACGGCTCAGCTTTTATCAATATCTGTGATTGCTGGCTGGTCTATTTATGAAGGCTTGTTAACAAATATCCGACAAACACAGAAAATGGAGAAAAAAAGAAATTGTTTGCAGCTGCTTAGGGGAACTCCTAAGCCACTAAAAGTCCTCTTCCCTGCTCTTAGCAGATCTCGCCTTATAGGAGCCCTTTTAAGCGCTAGGAATCTTGAGGAATAGCTTTTATATTAACTGTTATTTTCGTGACACTTTTAGGGGAAATTCTAAGAAAACGTCTCGACTCTGAGAATTTTCTTACAATTTGGCCGCTAGGAGCCACTTTTTGCACAAAAATTCTTTAGGGATACGGGCCATAGCGTTTAACTGAGCTCCAGTGCCTTCAACTGTGTGCCCACTAGATGGCAATAACTCGCAATTGCTCAAGAGTTCCTCAGTAAAAAAATTTTTGCAAGCGATTAATCTATTCTAAATGTACAAAGGCACAACAAATGCTCTTTACATAAGATTACACACCTCAACGAGTCTACAGGAACAAATGGACATGCTGAAGAACAACTAGTGCTTTAATTTCAGATTCTACACCTCGTCACATTAAGACACTGCAGAGACAACACCCTTTATTTCCTAAAAATAAAAATGTTATATCAATATGTTAGCTAAATATATTGGTTTTCCTCAAGACTTTGGATTTAAATGAACAAATTTGGAAATGCAGCATACTGGTACAATAAAACTGTTTATTAAAGAAAGTGCAACATATCCCCATGGCTTTAAAATACTGCAAATATAAAGAGGCATGTCAAATTTCAGTCTGCGTTTGAAGTGATCTGGTATGATGGGACATGTAATGACTTGCTGAGCTATGATACAGGACAGACAGGAAAACAAGTACTGGAAATACAGCAAGGGTTGGGGTGGGGTCTAGTGGCTTACTGTACAAACAAGGAAGAACAACCCTGAGGAGATTTGGAGGTTGACTGTGCTTAGCAAGAATAGGAGAAGAGGAGGGCATTAAGAAGTCTAAAGCAAGTGCATGCATAACTTTTCAACATGCATCATTATACTCTCACAAGTTTAGTCAATGGGTTTAAAGTGAGCTTCATCTTGTTTTTTGTACTCACTGTGACTTGTGCTGTGCATGCAAATATGTCTGTGTTCGATATTTGCATATGCTAATCATAACATCAGTCAAATTCACTCAGTTGAGCTCTTCCATCTTTCACTTCTGGGTCAGACTGAGTGTTTTTTTTTTTTTCACCAAAGACTACTAAAAAACGACTATATTGAAGTCATTCTGAATTCTTCTTCTCAATCCACTGTTTGAAAGCTGACAAATCCAGACGAAAGTATTCTGTTGAAATACGCCAGTGTCTCATGTGACGATTCTGGAGTATATTGTTTCTGTTTCCTCTGTCTCATTAGCTTTCTGCAACACAAATGCGACAAACAATAAAAATCTTCAGGAGAACATCTGTGGGATTAACACACATCACAATTCAAAGAAACAGCACCATTCAGAGCATAAAGTCAGAAAAAAATAAATAATAATAAACAATAAAATTAAAATTACACTCCTAACAACAATAATCTCTTATATAAACATTTTTAGAGAGATAGAATTTTTAGAAAATATGTGGGTCTGTCTCACAAAGACATTTTATTGACTTTAAAACACTTGGACTATCAAAAAATTATATACTTTAGGGTGATTTGTCAGTTTGCATCCATTAATTAAACTGACATTAACCTGGATAATCTTTGAAGATTATAATTTTTATTCAACCGGCGCAAGTCAAACTGGGATGTTGATTCAATTCGTTTTGGGTGACTAAACCTTAAAGCATCCAATTTCTAGGTCAAATATCAGGATGGACATGCAAACAGATGCTGTTTCAAGAAAATCATACCCTTTTTTGTCCATTTTGTATAAACACTCCTGTTTCAGCATATTGTACTTCGTCTTCTCCTGGCTGAGCTGTCTCTCCTGTATGAGCACATGGTTCAAAACAATTTCCTAAAGAGTTAGGGTAGGAGACGGTTAATTTCTCAATTATTAATATCAACTATAAGCACTTCATGCAGAATTAATACAATTCTTTCAGCTATATAGAAGTTGAAGGAGAATCGTACCTTTTTGTGCCGTTCTGTTGTGTTTCCTGTAGAGAAAGTACATCAAACCAGCAAGTGCAAGAAGTGCAGCAAAACTACATGCAGCAAGGACTGCATTTCCAATTCCATTTCCTTTTCCATTTTCTAAAACAGAAATGGGTTATTAACTTAACTTTGGTCTCATATCAGCATTGCCTCCATAGACCCTCAGCAATGATGCATATGCCATTTGGACAGAGGCAGAAAATATTTAATCTAATGTAGACACACTAATTACTGTTGATGTACCTTCACATGGTTGACAGAGTTTCATGATGCCCAGATGTGTGGTCTGGTTTCTGACAGGATTGTTGATCACACAGCTGTAGGAATCATCCAGACACTGAATCTCCAGAGGTAGAGAGAGACTGATGCTGAGATCAGACACGCTGATGTTGGACAATACACTGATTCCTTTATACCAGGAGAGAGTCACATCACTCACATTTAACACTGATGAACACACCAGTGAACAATTCTGGCTTGATGATGATGAAGAAGAAAAGTCTCTAGTGATGTTGGGAATGGGAAGAGGAGCTGGAAAACAAAAATAACAAGTAACCGTAAATATCAATTTGATCTGTAATTAAAATAACACACTAATGTAAACTAATAGGCAATTGACATTTTTGTTTTAAATGTCCTCTACTATGTATGATTAATTTGATCATAGGTAGTGATTCTGTCTGAGGTAGTGACACTTCACTTTACTCACCATAGACAGTAACGTTGAACTTCTTGTATGAAGTTTCTTCGCTTCTGATGACGTTTACTTTATAAAGTCCAGTGTGTTCAGATCTGATGTTTCTGATGGTCAGAGATCCAGTTTGACTGTCCATCTGGAGTCTGTCTCCAAATGTCACATCACTGTCAAACATATCAATGTTCTTCTTATATATTTCAGCGATACGAGTCTCTCGAGGTCCAAACATCCACAGTATCTGATCTTTACTCTGTACTTGAACATCAGTGTTTAGAGAGACAGAATCTCCCTCAGTCACTGACACCGACTTCACTTCATCTGTACCAGCGCCAAACACACCTGAAACACAGGAGAAACTCAGGGGTGGGGGTGTATACTTTTTAAAAAAAAAAAATAGTCTAATTTACAGACGTAGGGGCACAACCTAACACGTTCACTGTTTGTGTAAATTCACTTGGGGTTTAGAGTATTTATTTTTTCCCTCATTAATTTCACACGTCTAATACAATTGTGTTTTTTTTTCATTAATACAGTGTATAGCCTACTTTTTCTTGATTTTCTATTCCCGAAAGAATATAATTAAAATGTGACAACATGCCCCATAGGTTGGTCATGTTGTAACAAGTGAGAGGCACATTGTACCACAACCATATGAAAGATTAAATTGATATCTAATGTAGGCTATTAATATATATATATATATATATATATATATATACACACACACACACACACACACACACATAAATAAATATATAATAAAATAGTTATAACTTTTTTAATCCATTAAAACTCTAAAAGCTTAAAAGCCTATGTTAAGGTAATTTGAGACTGTTGCAGAGAAAGAAAATTAAACAAGAAATTGGATAAATGTCGGTTATAAACAATTACCTTTCAATCCTTGCAGGAAAAGAAAAAAGCAAGCTGTTCTGCCAACAGTTTTCCTCAACATTTCGCCGAGCAGATAGACAAACTCCTCATGACGACGTCAAATGACTGATAAAAGAAGAAGCAAACAGAAAAATACCACTTTGATTCGAATCTAATCCATATCTAGCTAAACGATTATGTCCGATTTGCTCAAATCGTTCATTAAACGCTGATCTTGATGAACGGTGTGTGTGCAGCACTGAACATGAAAACCCCGTGTGTAGTAGTCCCCTCCCCGCCCGTTTTGTTTAGTACAGCAACAGACCCATTTTTAGTTTAGTAATGAACAGACCACCAAAAAAGCACCAAAAAACAAATAACAGTTTATCAAATCTTTGTTTAATTTCTGTATGAATAAAAAAAGTATATTTTCTCTATCTAAATGTTGTATAAGCTCAATTTAATAATGATTCATCACACCACTGCAGTGTTACTATTCACCAATATTCAAAGTTAGTTCTGTAACCTGAAAGCTACTGATACAATCTCACCTGATCAAAAAGTTAGGCTTACCCATAGGAGCCTTATCATATAATTATTGGGCTATTTATTTTTTTATTTTATTTATTTATTTATTTTGAGCAACTGAGATGATGCAGAGCATGCGATCTCCAAGCGGCAGCCAGGAACCCAATGCTTTTAGCTGTCTCTTTAAACGAGTTTGACGTAAGAATGTTATAGGTTTATTTGAAGTTTATATACGGCAGTATAAGGTCAGGCCATCAGAAGCACCTCATCCACCTACACTACACCACATGCACATGCCACCATTACTCAAACTCATTCTTGTGCACAACTTGCACATTCCACTGGTACAAACCACACGTTTAGTAGCCTGCACAACTTATAGGTACAGTATACCATGACCTAGATTATACAAGTGATTACATTAGATTTATTGAGGTGATCAAACTGGTTAAACTAGTCACACACATATGCATAGATTCTTTGAATGTTTAGAACATATATTTGCCTTTATTTGCTCATTAATTATTTTATTTTTCCGTAATTCATGAATGTTTGTGAATAAAACGCGACGTGCAGTGCAAGATACAATCTAAATGATAAACTATGTTACACTCTAATGATCAGTGTGGTTTTCTGCTCTTCTCTGAACCTGAAGCCCCTTCCTCTTCTTCTTTTCATCTCTGCTACACAAACTTAAAGCGAACTGAGGCCTCTGATCTGACTCAACCATCAGAGATCTCAATGAAGTCTTTGTGATGTTCGCAGAGAAGAAAGATGGAGAAGTTCTCACAGCTCCGGCCAAAAAGTCCCCATCGGCGAAGTGAGACTCGCAACAGATGATTCTGATAAGCAATTATACAAAAATGATCTTATCGGCACAACCATAAACTTATTTATTATATAGGTTACAGTGGCTGAAGCTTTGATGAAACTGTCTTTCATCACGTTCGAGTGACCACTTCCTGTTGCAATGCTGAGGAGAACAAAAAAAGGTCAAAGCCAAAACCCATCATGCAAACAGTCATCCTTTTTCACACGAATAAGTCACACTTCTGAGCTAACTTCAACTTTTGTCATAAACGGACACCAAAAGTTGTGATAGAAAAGCACAAAATGTGAGTAGATAGTATTTTAAAATGCAAATGAAATTATTCAATGAAAGGTTTTAGAAATTATCATAAACAAAAGAAACAGAAAAACTCAATTCACTTTACACTTTGATTGAGGGGGAAAAAAAAAAGCAAATAATAGCCTATATAAAGTGTATTAATACTGTAATCATCATGGGCACTGCTGATGTCAAGCATACATGTAGATTAACGATAGCAGAGCTGTATACTGTAAATATGTTGTGCCGACAGTGTTTTGTAAGCAGTTTTAAATCACATGATTCCCGAGTTGTAATTCAGGTCTTTCTAAATCTCACAATTTTTTATCATTTACAGACAAATGCTAATGCTAATAGTCTCAGATGCATCTAAAAATGAGCAGAATTTAGTTAAAACCCCTAAGTTCACACATTTTTCACACTTTGGGTTCTGGTAGGCCACCGTTTCCTGTAGATCAGAGAGATAGTGTTATACAGTCCTATAAGATTTACGCTGAGTAATGTAACGTTTATGTGTTGAACATTTGTTTTAGTCATGGCAATGATTCAGACTGACCAAACTAGCGTCTATCACTAAACAGACAGTCCAGGGAAGAGCTTCCGTGTTTTACCACTTACTGTTTTGCCTACTTTATTGTCAAGCCATGGTTGCCAAGTTACCGTTCACAGATGGCCAGTGATACCTGATATCTGACTTTTGTTTGCATACTGTGTGATATATCAGCATCATGTGAAACACAAAGTGTAGTGGGAATTTTTCATTGTGCATTATAATGGGCAACCAACCCTCAGCGTCTCCAGTGTTTGCACACTCATTAACCATTTCTACACTCTAAAAAATGCTGGGTTGTTTTAAACCAATTTTGGGTCAAATATGGACAAACTCAAACATTGGTTAAAATATAATTTAAAAATGTAAACAAATGTCTGGTTTTGTCTATATTTGACCCGAAATTGGGTTAAAACAACCCAGCATTTTTTAGAGTGTAATGATAAACTTCCTCAGAAACTGAACGCAACCATTAGCCTACACTCAGAGGATGACGGCAGTTAATGGAAGGCTAAAGGAGGATCCAAATATTTGTCCTGTAACTTGATCTGTCTCCAGTAAGTGGTCTGATTAACATCTTCAAAATCCTCATGAGTATGGGTTTGGTTTGAGGGGCAAAGAAGTAGGGAATGTTTGAACATAAAAAGTGGGATTCCCGGATGTTTCCAATGATCACTATCAGTACTATTGTGTAAACATCACTGATCATGTAATGGAGGAAGGGTTTTTAGCTTATACTGTAAATCACCAGTTCCTCATTTTAAGACCTCCCTCTTTCCTTTCTAACTGTCGACTTCCTTGTTCTCGAACGGATCTGCCTGTTCTGATGTCATTCATGATGTTAAATCAAAAAAGAAACAGAATATTAGGAAATATGTTCGAAACTGCAGATCTGTGTGTGAGCATCAATAGGAGTTTCGTATTTTTATCTTGGTCTGTCACCGTTTCACTTGTCAAACCGCATCCTGTGTCAGAGGTCTCCAGCTAGACCATGTGAAATGACAGTGTGCTTTAGAAAGACCTAACTTCCTCTCACAACGAAGAGTCTAGCATGTTTGTCCTTTCCTCTACAAATATTGACTTCTGGTCTCTGTTCAAAGAAACACACCTGTAACTGAGGGAACAATGAAGTATGTTAAACACATGAGTGTAGATTACCAGCAAAGACTATCTCATTTCATACCCTCCCCCTCCTTCTCAGTCTTCTGTGCACTGTTTATCTCCTAAACACAGGGGAGGATGAAGCTTGGGGAATTTCCATGGAAAAAAAAATAAAAAAGTGCAGCTGCATCATGTGAAACTACAGTAAGCAGCCGCCTAGGGGTTCTGACGCAGCCATACAACCACAAGCTAAGTAGAAACATAAAAGAACAGAAATGTTCAATTTAAAGGGAAAATTCACCCAAATGTAATAATCTGTCACCCTTATTTCATTCCAAAACTGTAAGAGTTTCTCCTTCTGAACAAAAGAAGATGTTTTGAAGAATGTCAATAATCAAACATGTCCCTTTGACTTCCACATATATAGAAAAAAATACTATGGAAGTCAAAGGGGCCCATCAACAGTTTGGTTACCGACATTCTTCAAAATGTCATCTTTTGTTCAGCCGAAGAAAGAAACTCACACAGTTTTGGAATTACATAATTATATTTTTGGGTGAACTACCCCTTTAAGAGCTTGTATAAGTTGCTCTGACACCTAGTGGTGTGTTTTTACTCCACAATAATTAAAGGGTTAGTTCACCCAAAAATGAAAATTAAGTCATTAATTACTCACCCCCATGCTGTTCCAACCCCGTAAGACCTTCGTTCATCTTCGGAACACAAATAAAGATATTTTTGATTGAATCTGAGAGCTGGATCACTCTTCCATAGGCTTCCTAAGGGACTGGCTCTTGACGGCCCATAAAGTCATTAAAGAAAAGGTTTAAATATTCCATGTGCCTACAGCGGCTCAATTATAAGTTTATCAAGCGACGAGACTACTTTTTGTGCGAAAAAAAAACATAAATAACGACTTAATTCGACTATTCTATTACTTCCTTATGGGCGCATGCGCGAGAACTGAGACGAGGACGTTCTCCTTCATCTACTTCTTGTTACCGGCTGCTCCGCTTAGGAGTATTACCGCCACCTACCGTATAAAATGATGATCCATATATAAGGCGCTCCGGATTATAAGGAACACTGTCGTTTTTTGAGAAGATTAAAGGCTTTTAAGTGCACCTTGTAGTGCGGAAAATACGCTAATTGAAAAGCGTATGTAGCCTACAGCGCGCATCT